GAAATTCGAAATTTATAATTTTATGTACGTTTTTTTAACTTGACTTGTTTAAATTGTTACGATTGAAATACCCGTATGTATGTATTTTATATCTAATCAAAATTGAAAAATTTGGTATTTTGCTACTAGAATCATTGAAAATTATATGAATTACATTGAATAGGTACGATAAGTATATTGAAAATGTAAAGATGAATTAGGTATATATTTCACTTAGGTAAAGTTTGTCACGTATATATTCTTCAGGAATCAAAATTAGCTAGTATCAAAAACATTTAAAATGTTCCGTATATTTTTTTTTAAGGATTTGGATTAGGTACTTAGATACTGATAGAGATTATGGAATAGGATTTCCTGTAGATATAAAATGGTTGAATTTGAATTCATAAGTCTATCCAATATAGAATATTTTATTTCAAACCTTAATCCCATTATCACCTGACGTCATGGAAAATTTGTATTGGTATAATTATTTTCAAGTATTATTGTGAGTTAGAGTCAAAAGTTTTGCAGTTTGATTTGTTAATTTATTTAAAAAGTTTTATTGATATTTTATAATCAGGGATAGATTGACAAAGATAGTTTCGATATATTTTTTATAGAAAGATGAGTTTAAAGTCGAAATTAAAATTTGAATTTTTGACGTTATGTTTTAACGTAAATTTAAATTCAAAGTTTCATCAAATTTGGTCAAGCCTTTTATTAATACGTGATTGTTTAAGTGTTTTATTTAACATGAGATTGATAAAAGTCATCACGAGTCTAAATTCTAAATTATTAGTTTCAGTTATTAGACACCTAATGACAGATTCTCGTAATTGTTTTGAATAACTTTACGAATAAGGCAAAGGTAGATAGGATTACGTATTGCATTTCTGTATCAGTGTAAGGAATGCTGCATATGCATTTATGCGAGTTGTGTTTTAGCGAAGGTGTAACTTAAGTTTACTTATTATGCTAAACTTAAATAGGTAGGTGTTATATTACTTGGGAACGATAGATAAAAACAAAGGGATTTCAAATAGGTAGGCAAGTATAATTATATTGAAAAGATATATAGAGACATAGGTATAAAGATTAGCGATTATGTGGATTGAAAAATATTTTGAGGGAGTGAAATGGAAAAGATAAGTTATGTAGGCTGTATTAAAATCTTTTTGTAACTTTAAAGTTTGCAATTAGGTACAGCATGGTATAGAGATAAGGTTAGGGTTATGTGTTTGTCTTTTGTAGGTATTGGAAAGTCGGCATTAGTTTATAAAAGGTAGTTAGGGAATATTATGGTTCATAATGTATCACGAGCGATTGGACTGATCACCCAAGAGCTATGACACTCTTATTTACCCTAATATTCAAATTAAGGAATGTTGTTTATTTTTTTGTAGGATTAGAATGAATATGGTTATTAAATGCTCGTTATTCGATACACAAGGGTACTATAGGGATCAGGTCCTTCAGGTGTCAAGGTGCGAACGAGATTCCTCTTTGAATACTGTTGGAGATCAAAAATATCTTAATTCATGACCCTATCTATAAATGATAATGGTGGTACATGGAGGGTCAGAACTTTCCATTCGATCATGGTGTAAACTGCGTTTCTCTGTGAGATATGTTGGAGTCCAAAAGAGGCTTAAACCTTGACCCCCGAATAATAATAATTAGGTTGTGCGCACAACCCAAATGGCACAGAGTTGTCCATTTATTATATGATAATTAAGAGTCGACTATAAATAAAATAATATATGTACCAAATAAATGAGTAAAATGAAAATGAAAGAACGCCGGCGCGGAGCGTATAGAGCATATGTATAATGTGTATGAAAAGTACCTTTAAGTGTGTTATGAAAATCAGTGCACCGATAATGTTTTATGAAGTAAATTAATTATTGCGAGCGAGAGTTAGGAATAAAGTATGGTCAAATAAGACAATTATGGAAACATGTGGTGAAAATAAAGAGAATATTATACGATTCTATGAAAGTAAATGAATAAGTCGAATTGGAAAATAGATGCAAGGGTATTCGTTTTAAAGAAAAATATGAGATAAGGATGATTCGTCATCGTATAATTATGATAGGCAGGAAAAAGAAAGTTTTTTTAAGTAGAGTACATAAAAATAACGTGCGTTTTAGGCATAGTAGGTAAAATTTTAAGCATTCCCAAGAAGAAGAATTTGAATAGGAAATTAGGTAGTTTTAATATAAAATCAAATTTTAGCTTATGAAAGTAAAGATACAATGAGTTTTAAAAATCTATGATTGTTGTATTTTTTTCATTTTGGAGTCAGGCAAATTTTTGAATGAAGTATATTTATTTATTTATTTATTTATAATATTTTTAGAAAGGTGAATTTCGTAAAAAATTAATTGTGATCGAATGAAATATCAGCGTTAATCAGTGCAATCTCCCAATATGAATCAGAAGTCAATAAAAATATAAGAGTATAATATATTGATGTGTACTTACTTGTTTATATATTTTATTATGAAAGTGTTATCTTTATCAATAATGTTTTGAACTTTTAAAATGGTATTTTACCCCACATTGTAACGTATAGAAAAATAAAGAAATTGAATAGATTGTTGCGCAGAAACAAGTTAATACTAATTATTTTATAATTATGACAGATTATTTCAATTGTTTAATTAAAAAAATATTGTTTATATAAATTTTTAGAACTATTTCCATTATTGATGTATTGTGTTATGTTATGAATATGTATATTGAAAAAACGTGTTTTAATATTGAATCAAATCAGGCGAGTTCTAAACTATAGCAGATTTTCTGTAAGATAGGGTTGTTACCATTTGTCCTGCGGCGAAATAAAACTACTTTGTTATTTTTAGAAGTTTTTTTTTTACTTTTTACGTTTATATTTCAATTGTGTTTATATAAAATATACTGTTAATATTTTTTATATGATTATGAGAACAATTTGTGTAATGAATCATTTTAATCAGATAATAAGTATGTGAGTTCTACTTTACTGAGTAAGTTAAAAAGAAAACAAAATGACTTGACTTAATAAACATTGCTATAATTTCTGTATAATTAATTGAATTTTTAAATAGATGTGATGTGTTTGTTAGGTACGTCAATATTTTTGTAATTTTTGCTGAATGTATTCAATATGATTTTACTGTTTGTATAGTAGTATTTGTCATTGTTTAATATATTTTATATACAAATTGTTTATTATAATATTAAACTATAGTTTTTTTGTAACCTTTTATATAAAAATTGTAGCTTATTCCGTACTTTATTATTTTCTTTCTTGTAATGTTAGGTTTAATAACCGGATATACTTATTATTATATATTACTTGCATATTATTTTTAAAAGTGATTTAGAATCAACAACAATATAAAAAAAAATGTTTCTGTTTTGTTTTAACTGATATCTGGATATATTACTTAACTGGATAGTTAATAATCTGTGTTAAATTTTATAGAAGTGAAATCCGTCAACAACATAATAATAATTTTTTTTTAATTTTTTTTTCCTTTTTACGGGGGAGGTGTAGTGTATATTATGTATACTAGACATATGCACACACGCATCTCTCCCAATATATAAAGCATTGTAATATTAATAAATGCTCTCTTTAATCGCAGTCAGTTGCTTTATTTAAACACCCGAACCGCCAACACTTTTAAACATGTGTAATATCATTACCTTTATCTTCGCAATTACCGTTGCTGTAAACAATTGACACCACATTCACTTTTCACTGCACTTCATACTTGACGAAAACATGTAAATGTATTATTGTATAGCAGCTGTCCACGCGGACGCATCGCTCACTCAAATTGGAGGGAGACAGATGTCGAACGCTGCCGAACGCGGAGGCCGATTGTGCCTCTTTGTCGTTCGTTGCGCGCTCTCGCTTGCACTTCAAGCCTTAAATGGAACGCCTCAGAGCGAGGTAACGCCGCATGAGTCATGTTTTTTCGTGCGTGCAGCCAGCTCCATCGATTATAAGACGTTGTTACGTCAAAATATCCTTTGTTTTAGGGTGGGGTTGGATGATTTTTTTATCGTCTGCCCCATCGTGCCGCGTATCGTTGAATAGGTCTTTTAAGACGACTTAGGGATTGTCAAGACTCTTTTTCATTTAAGGGAAAGGTTTGTGAAATATTAAGCCTTAAAGTGCAAATTTTTGTTCGAGAAGGTCCCTCGCCCCCTCAAAAAAGAAGCATGGCAGAATATTGGCATGAAAAATCATGATAATAGTGCTTGTTATTTACGTTTAAAGAAAATCATGCCGGTTAAGATAAATCAGTAAGTTTAAGGTGCAGTCGTTCATCGAAGGTATTAGAAAATTTCTTACCTAATAAAAAATCTTGAGAAAAACACATTTAAAGTAACTTAGATGAAGTAATTGCTTGCTTGTATCGCGTAACATCGTGAATTGAAAAACAAAATACTACAGTAAAATATCTACGGAAACCTATACTATGCGTGGCACGACATGCACTTGGCCGGTTTTCATTGGATAGGTTATACCTCAAAGTTGGTCCTAAATAAATTTGGATACTTAAATCCTACCCTAAGGTTGAGGCAATAGGGGTGATTATTCACTAACAGATTTCGATGCTGAAAATTAAAGCCACAAAAATAATAAAATAAGGACTTTTTAGCAAAAAATATTATACCGCCGAAAAACTTAAAAGCAGAAAATAATAAACTTTTTTTATCTTTAGTCAGTTTAATATTTGGAGTCGGTGCCACGTCATCGTAAGTAAAAAAAAAGGGAACTCAGATCTATCAGACATACATGACACCGACTCCAAATATTAATTTGAATTGTTTATACAGTGTTTCTCCTCTTCCAAAGTCTTCAAAATTCTTAGCCAAATTATAGTATTAATAAATTATAAATTGTTTTAATAGAAATCAGAAGTAACTCTAAAAATATTGAATGTATCAGAATTAATGTTGTAGTTCACTGAACTCAGAACTTGCGAAAGTTATTCATAATGGTTTTTATTTTGTTACAGATAAAGTACCCGCAGCATAGGGACTCGGGAATCTACGAGTGTCAAATATCGACGACTCCGCACATGAGTCATTTTATACATTTAAATGTCGTTGGTGAGTTTTAGTTTCATTTATTCTTTAGGGTTTAAATGTAAAAGGCGACGCAATTCACAGCAAGCGATATCGAGACTGAACCTTTAGTCAAAGGTATTAGCCCCGGATCTATACATCAACACCACCCTAAAGTACATCTAAGAACAATAATGAGCCCGTTGGCGCCGGTGGTTAGCGCGTTTGGCTTTGATCGTTGAAATTAAGAAACTTTCGCAGTGGTCGGTCTTTGGATGGGTGACCAAAAATCTTCTGTCTCAAGTTCCTCCGTGCTTCGGAAGCCACGTTAAGCCGTTGGTCCCGGCTACATCTGCAGTCGTTAGCACCCGCCAATCCGAACTGGGCCTGCATGTTGGGTCATGGCCGAATCTCCCTATTCCATCCATAGGGAAGGCCTGTGCCCCAGTAGTGGGGACATTAACAGGCTGATGCTGATGATGATAATGATGAATATTTATCCCATATTTTAATTATATTATTTTTGCCGCGTGGGAGTGGTGTCGTGTAAATGGGAGACCTAAGACCTTAAGATTCTAATTAGACAGTGCAATATTTAAACCACACAACGCTGATTCATAAAATGTGTGCGTTTATGAACGAAAGCTATTTTATTAATCTTAGTGTAAGCTATTCAAATTGGATATTATAATTTAGTGAACTAAGTCAACAAATAAGAATAAATAAAATTATATCTGAGATCAGCATTAGCCAGCTTATGTTGATATAGACATCAGTCCTACAGCTCAATAATGATCATCGGAGCTTTAATAAAACCCATTCTTTACAGTCAAACTATTCCTAGTAATAATAACCTATAATAACCTACGTATGATACGAAACTAATAGTTTTAATTGTCCATACAAAATTGCCTCCAATCCAAAGCACAACACGCCGAACAAACGACAACTCTTTGTCATTACTTAATCTATTGAAGAATCAAGTTGACTGACATCGGTAACTTCCACATTAAAAATTGTGCTGTCATTAAAACAACAACGGCATCGGAAAAAGCAAGTTTGCAGACAAACATGAAACAACGAAATCCACTTTCCTTTAGCGCTTTAAGCGGCACATTTTTGATACTCATATCGACTTTTTTTTTTTACGGCCGTGAATTTCTCCATTTCGGCCATTCTTTAGTTAAATTCATCATTTTAAATGTCTTCAAAGGTATTCATTACATATTTAAATAATATAGGTTATGTATTAGTGTTTTGTATGATAGATGGCAATTGGCTGGGCATTCTGCAGTTATCGTATATCTCTATTAAGCCATCTATCAATAAGATTCTCTGTATAAAGAAGGCAGGACATTCTAAAATAAGATGCTGTAAAGTTTCCACGCTCTTAGATTTACAATACCGACACTCATTTTGGTCTTCTAGTTTAATTCTGTTTAAATGCTCCCGGAATCTTCCATGACCAATTCGTAAGCGATTCATAGTTGTAATATATTTTCTAGATGGATTTTTCAATTTTTGGTGCCATGGCTTCTTAGGTATCACATCTTGTATGTTGGTATACCATGCTCCTTTAACTTTTCTAGTTTCTTCCCAATACTTATTCCACGTCAGATACATTCTGTCTTTTATTGCACTATAAAAATCCGTAAAAGGAATTGAGGCGTTTTCATGAACTGGAATGTCGAAAGTACCTTTCATCAACGAATCAGCTATTTCATTTCCTGTAATACCTGAGTGAGATGGCACCCATAGAAATTCGACAATTTTTCCCATATCATATAGAACTTTTAAAATGTCTTTCACAGAATATATGTATATGTTATTCTTATATGATAATGTAGTATTTTCCAAACATTTTAATACACTCAGTGAATCTGTGACAATCAAATACTTTTTCGGTAACATCTTTTTTATAATTAATAATATGTATATATAATAATAATAATATATTTTATAAAAAATAATATTTCAAAACTTCATGGATAGCATATGCTTCTGCCGTAAAAATGGATGTATTGTTATGTAATCGAAAACATCTGCCGATTTTCAATGTAGAGTCATAAAAGGCTGCCTTTACATCATGCGTAGTCTTGGAACCATCAGTGTATAGTATGTGATGTTCTTTTCTCTCACTATTATTTAAAAAACTCAAAAATTCTTCATTGTTCGTAATTTTAATGCCATTGCATATCAAAGGTTTGACCATACGTACCTCTAACGAGGCACAATTCCACTTGCCCGTCTTATAAACATTTTTAAAAAGTTCTTGTAGTTCTTCTTTATCCTTATTTTCTAAATATACATATTGCTATATTCAACGTTACTATACATTTTTACGAAGAATTTCTCAGCTAAATATTTGCGCGCCGCCGCCGCGCCGGCCCCCCGGCCAGTACCGCCCGAACCGGTATGTTCCTGCATTTTAAATCTGTAATATCTTCGAAAATATTCATTTTAATTACATGCTGTAAAGGGCCATATTGATCTATATTACACGCACAATGTATTTAAGGTACTTAATTGGATAAGGATTAATGCTGTGTTGCTTAAAATCGTTTGTTCGTAAATAAGTCATTATTTTCTCGTAATAAGTAATTAAAAAATGGTTATTGTGGGTTATACCAAAGAGATAGGCATATACCATCGCGGACTTTTTTGTAGACCTTTTTAAGGTGTACAATACTGTAGTACATTATTTTGTTCTATCTCGTTGGGTTCAGCCAGCGTTTGCAATGTAAGCGCAAAAAAATGTGTTTATTTACGACATTACATTAAAAACCTCTAAAATTATCAGTGTTTCTCTACTATATTATGCATGTATTATACATATAAACCTTCCTTTTGATTCACTCTATCTATTCAAAGAAACCGCATCAAAATCCGTTGTGTATTTTCAAAGATCTAAGCATACATAGGGACATAGGGACAGAGAAAGCGACTTTGTTTTATACTATGTAGTGAAGACCATAATCATAATGGCTCCTTACTATAGCTACAAAAATCATATAAAGTATTTTAGGATCCATTCCCCAGCTAAGACATTTCAAAATATTTACACGTTTTTGCATTTTATTAACCACACTGTGTACATGAGCATTAAAAGACATTTTGCTGTCGAAAATGATTCCCAAAAATTTGTGTTCGAAAACTTGCTTGATTTTAGTGGAATTTATTACTATATTTACATTACTATTACATAAAGATTTACTGAATAACATACAACTGCTCTTGGCAGGGTTTAATTCTAGTTTTAACAGCTTTTTGTAATACAAATATATTTCATCAAGGGTTTTATTGATTACAGTCTGTGCTTCATTTATATTTCTAATGGAGGTATAAACGACGAGATCATCAGCAAATTGTAACATTCTGACATTATTAAAATTGACAAACCTGTGAATACCAGCGGTGTACAACAAATAAACCAAAGGAGATAGCGACGCGCCTTGCATTACATCCTTAAAAACTAGCCTAGGACCATAAAAATTGTTGTTAAATTTTATCGAAATTTGTCGACCATAAAAGAAATTAAAAATAAATTGCAATATCTTTCCTAGGATGTTCAAAGAGTTAAAAATAACAACTAAAGTTTCTAAATCTACATTATCAAAAGCACCTTTGACGTCTAAAAAGACATCTATAAAATTGGAATAGTTATTTAAAGACTTTTCTATATCATCAGCAAATTTCAACAGGCTGTCTGTAGTGCTTTTTCCTTTACTGAAGCCAAATTGTTCTATTGGAATGATATTTGAGAATTGTACAAAAGATCCCTGTCTATATTTAATCATATTTTCAAAAATTTTGCCTATACACGATGTTAAAGATATAGGTCTGTAGGAATCGGGAGAAAGTGGGTCTTTATCCGGTTTCAAGATAGGGACAACCGTTACTTTTTTCCAGTCCAGTGGTATAATATTTTTATCCCATAAAGAATTAAAAATACTCAACAAAATATATCTGCAATTTGCATGCAACTTTTTTATAAGAATATAGGGTATTTCATCGGGCCCAGGAGTAGTATCTTTTCTACTATACAAGGACAAATTAAATTCAGATTCTGTGAACGGCCTAATTAAATGCGTATTGATTATATTTTGATTAAATAATAAATTTATCGAATCAGAGTTTAATGTATTCTGATCTGAGGAGAATTTGTCTAAGAATGCTTCAACCCAACAATCATCTTTAGTTTGAACCCTGGGTCTATTTTTATTAAATTTCTTTATAAAATTCCAAATACGTGAACTTGGTGTCATCCGATCAAATTTTGAACAGAGAGAAATCCAGGAAAGTTTTTTTTGCTCTTTTAAGATCAATTTCTTCTTTTCGTCTAACTTTCTATAAATTATATAGTTTTCTATAGTTGGAAAACGTCTATAGCTACATAAAGCTAGTCTACTTTTTTTAACAGCATTTGAGCAAATATCATTCCACCACGGTACTAAAATGTGTTGTTTTTGGTTTTGAACGCAACTAAAAGTATTAGAGGACGTACATTTCGGAACGCAATTTTCTTTCAAGTTGTTGACGAAATCAACAAAGCAGTTTTAATTCATTACAGGATTAACATTAGAAAAATCATAATTGCTTAGCAAATTTTTTGAGGCTTCTGTATATTCTGCCCAGTTAGTTTACCTAAATAGAAATCTATCTGTTTTGTTAATTATTGGATAATAATCAGGCTTAATTTGGATGGTAACCATTGTTGGATAATGACAACTACGTAAGCAATCATCATAAAACACAGACCAATTACAAGAAGGCATGAGGTTCAAAGATACGAAAGCTACATCAATAGCAGAGGCTGAATCATGTGGACGATTGACTGTGGTACATGATCCGTCATTCAAAATGCACAAATTAAAATCATCCAGCATGTCGTAAATTTGTATTCCTCTTTGTTTATTGGTAGCACAACCGAAGGCAGTATGATGAGCGTTTAAGTCTCCTAATAACAATAAGGGAGTTGGCAGCTGTCGTATTATACTTTTGAGAGTATTTATTGGAAAACGTGTTGTTCGAGGCGGACAATAACAACCTAAAATAGTGAGAGGACCTGATATTGTTTCAACACTTATGGCAATATTTTGAATGTGAAAACATTCAGTGGAACGAGTAATAATTAAATTACATTTTAAGTTTTCTTTGTAAAAAATTGCAACACCACCATGACCATTACTTAAATCCTTCCTTAATAATTTATAATATGGTATATTAACATTTACGGGTGGCTTAAGCCAAGTTTCATTTAATATTAATATGTCAATACTATTATCAAAAAGAAGATTCTGTACTAAAGGTAATTTCTGCTTAAGACTTTGTATGTTGTGTTGACATATTAGTAAATTGATTAAGTTACATTTATCCATTATTTATTTATATTTTGAATAAAGAGTTCTTTAATTGTTTGTGAGTTAATAGGTAGTTTATTTTCTTTATTGTACATCATTGTTAAAGTTTTGACAAATGCATTCATAATTAAATCATTATTAACAAATTCAATAATTAAGTCCTTATTATCTAATTTATGTGGCTTGGTGTTTGTGACTTGTACAAAAGATTTAGTAAAAGATGGCTTTTTCATACTTATTTCTGGAAACTGAGTAACTAGGGTGAGCTTATTTACAATTCTGTTTCTATTCTCCTCTATTTTTTGTAATTTTATTGGACAAATACTAGAAATAGCAATGTGATTACCTTTACAATTAATACAAAATGGATTACTTGTATTTTCACACTTCTTGTAGGAGTGGGCACCACCACACACAGAACATACTATTGCTCGTTTACAAAACTTAGATGTATGGCTAAAATTTAAACAGTTGTAACATTGCAAAACTGGTCTAATGTATGGTTCTACCCTCAATGCACATAGATCAAAAGTGACATAATTTGGTAAAATATTACCAGAAAAAGTAATTGATACTGTTTTAAGAGGAATAATCCCCTCCGACGTTTTTTTAGTGAACCTTCTTATTCCTAGAATCTCTTGTGAGGATACAAGTTTGTTGAATAAAGTTTTATTACTTAGCTCAGTTGGTACAAATTTTATCACTCCAATGCATTCAGCTTGTGATGCAGGTATATAGGCTTTCAATTACTGACTCTTTAAAAACTGTGAGTTGTTAAGTAGTGCATTGGCATTTTTTGAATTATCAAAAATTACGGCATATTTGGAATCATTTATACGTTTTAACTGTTTAACTCCTTTAATGAATCTATTAAAAATGCTATTTAAATAAATTGGATTTTTATTACCAAACTTTTCCTCTGGTTTTGTACTTTCTAAATATACAGAGAACACAGTTCCCTGAGAATTTGGCGGATAAATACGGATGTGATCCTGCTTGCGGTAGGGTATATATTTATTTTCTGCTTCATCATCGGATGTGTGATCCGAAGCATCAGACAAAAAATCTTCTTTACGCCTCTTAACCGACTTTTTCTTCTTAATATTTTTACCTCCACTATGTTCGTCCATCTTTAAACTTTAGAAAATTGAACTTTCTCTAAGATTTAACTATGAAAATAAAATAAATGAAATAAAACTTAAAAATAGCGCCTTGCCTATTTAAAAGCCTTTCAGTTCTATTTAGAGCTGTAGCAAACCGTATGTATTCAGTACTGAGTAACAGGTACGCCATCTAACACCGACTACCGAAACATCACACACAAATGCATTTCTTTACTCGCATTTAAAATAAACCAATTTTATTAAATTATGTTATTTAGTCTACGCATGCCGGTTTGCGGTATTATTGTGATATTACATATTTTCACGGATCAAATATTCCGTAAACGTAAGTAACAGAATGCGTTGCAAATACAGTTGTTATCCTTGCGGTAAATACATAACAGTTTATTTGTAGTTTTTACCAATTTACATATTAAATCAAATGAAATTGAGATTTACATAACACAAGACGACAAGTCTGGTTCAAAATATGTATATAACGTATATAAAAATTTTTTTAGGAAGTACGACTGACGCTAAGACAACGTTATAGCGTACGCGTACGCAATATGCAACACGACCTTTCCCCGTAGCATGAGTACCACAATTTACAGTATATCACGTTTTTATCACATTTAACAGTCCAACTGCATAGTAATTTGACAATTGAGCATGATAAAAACGTGTTATTATCGCGGTGCTCATGCTATGGGGGCTGATGCGATACTTTATGTTACCGGGTATTAAAGCAACCAGTAACGTAACGATACGATAGTAACGAGTACTAACTGTTATAGTATGTAATACATACGGGTACGCTATTTTTCTTTACTCTTACACCTCTAGTTCTGTTCTGTCATGGTTGTTTGTTTAAACCTCTATGTAAGGGCGACTACACAAAAGTTCCTTAAGTCAGTGATGTTTTGGTTTTGTCATGTTTGCACGCGCCTGTTAATTAAGTGAGGTATATTACAGGCACGCACGCCAGTTTACATAGCCGAAAGTGAAACAAAAACCCGTGAAACCGTCTCGGAAAGGCCAATTTAGAACTCGATATTGACCTCACTCCCCCACTCACCGCACCCCTCCACGTTGATAACTTTCCAGAAATTTGTTTGCCCACATTGTTTATCTGCATTCTATTCTTTGCGAAGTCAAACACGTCAAATTAATTAATTTCGGATCGTATTCGAGTTTTGTTCGCATTATAAAGCCTTCCTTATCAATTATCTATTAACAAGTTGATGTTCCAATTATTACTAAGATATTTCATGACTTTTCGGGAAATCAATTTGAGTGAGGTTTTACACAGTGCTTCGATCAATTTCAAGAAAATCGATCAGTAGATCATTAATTTTTTTAAGGAGCTCGATGGCGCAAGTTGTAAGCGGCTGCGATCGTTGAAGTTATGAAACTTTCGCATTGGTCGGTCATTGGATGGGTGACCAAAAATTTTCTATCTCGAGCTCCACCCTGTTTCGGAAGGCTCGTTAAGCCATTGGTCCTGGCTGCATCTGTAGTCGTTAGCACCCACCAATCCGCACTAGCCGAGATCCGCTCAACATGCCTTTAGAGACCAACATCATAAATTTTTGGTCACCCATGCTTTGACCAGCCATTTCGAAAGTTGTCTAACTACCATTCTCGCTCCTCAAATGCTAGAAATATCAAATGTGATGGAATAATTTCATAGTGCTTTTATAAAGATTACTTTATTTATTTCATTGTTAGACAAATTGCCTTAGAAAAGGGCCGTCTATTTTTATTATTGGTATTGGAGATTACTTAGTATATAAGGATATAAATCCTGCTACTCAGGCTCTTTAGTTCGTTTGAAATATAATATTATTATTTTATAGAAGAAAATAAATAGATTATTAGTAAAAAACGAGAGCAATAAGATTATTGTTTAAGGTGCTTAATAAACAGTTCTGAGAATTGTCACACTCACTTAATCTACCTAGTACTAACTTAGGTTACTTATAGGATTTAGGTTTAAAGAATTTATTTTCAAAAAGACTTAAAGCCATTTACATGAAAATAAAATGATCATATGGTAAATATCATTACCATATTGTTACGTGTCGGGATGGGGTTCGAAATTATATGCCAGTTCACGCTTGACAGTTCTTTATTCATCACACAGTTCACACAATTAACACACAATGTTAATAACTGACTAAACACTGTATTTCACTATACAAGTCTCTAAACGATCGCCTTTGGATTCGCTCCGAAATCACTGTTGAAACTCAACTGTCTCTGCGCGGCGCCAATCACGCTTATATACGCCGATCGACGCATTCTAGAATGTACCTGTTAAATAGTTAGCACCTGCGAGTACAAAGTACCTACTTATACCTACGCAGGTAACGCGCATAACTTGTAAACAAGTGCAGATGTCGTTGCACTTTCTCCCTTACACCGCACTGCATAAGGCTCATTTTAGAATAAGCTGCATTACTCGACCTCTATCCCGACCCGCGATGCTCTGGCACATTCGATCTCTAGCACTTTCGCGGTTCCGTTTCGAGAACGTTTGTGACAATATAAAAACTACAGTCATCATCATCATCAGCCTATTAATGTCCCCACTGCTGGGGCACAGGCTTTCCCTATGGGTGGAATAGGAAGATTGGGCTATGACCCACCACGCGGGCCCAGTGCAGATTGGCGGGTGCTAACGACTGCAGATGCAACATTCCAAAACTACATTATTAATTTTTAAAATAAGAACTTCAAATAAAAAAGGCCATGTGCGTGTCGTGCGTGCCACGTGCAGTGTAGGGTTACGTAGATATCTAATTGAACGATTTTAAATAGTTTTTTTTAGATTGTTTTTCAATGCAAGGTTTAACTCGTTGTAAAGAAGCAATTACTTCATCTTAGTCACTTTTAATGTGTTCTTCGAAGGAATTTTTATTAGGTAAAAATTTTTCTAATACTTATGTTGAACGGCTATTACTCTTACAGTAATAAATTTATCTTAACTGTTATAATTTTTCTGAAAAGTTCAGTAAAAGCACTCTTATTATGATTTGTTTTCAGAATTTTCAAGCTAATAATTGAGCTTTTAAAGGGGTTTGGGTGGGTGGAGGGGGGTCTTGAACAAAAATTAGCACTTTAAAATTTAACATATAACGATTAACACTTTACTCAATTAGTATCTATCAATTACTTGCGTGCGTTCTTCTAAATTTCTTAATGGGAAAACATTTTCGCACATCGTGCGTTGAGTCTTGAGGATGAGTCCGTGACAAGTCCTCGGCGGATATTTTCTTTACGATTCGGGGACTTTTGTTCTCCGCAGACAAACGTCCTTCGTCTGCGCAGGCCATAAATGTCACATTATTTGCAAGAACTATGAGCACTTAGAAATTATCCGTCTGTACGATAAATATAGTGATTTTCATTATTGTTTCACAGAACCGACGACGGAAATAATTGGCGGTCCTGACCTCTACATCGATAGAGGCAGCACTATCAACCTGACCTGCGTGGTTCTGTATTCACCAGAGCCACCAGCATACATATTTTGGAATCACAATGATGCCGTAAGATATAATAATCTTAAAAACCATCTAATAATTATTAAAAATTAATTAAGGCGCCTTATAGTAATAATTAGAGACAGTAAAAGAAATGATAAGTTATTTATTTCGGTTTATTAAAAAATCCCACTCCTAGAATCTTTTTTTATGTTAAGTTTATGAACCGCCTGATGGTAAGCGGCCTGGATAGTCTATAGACTCTTGCGATACCTAAAATATCACTCGCACAGTAGCCTAACCTGACCCAATCTCCTACTCCGTAGAGCCCTCGAACCTACATGTCGGTAGAAACACAGCGAAGGTAAAGTAAAGAAAAGTGTAACTAGAAAAAAAAAATGCGAGTACGAGTCCCGTTCGCTGTCTCGTCCGCGTGGATTTTTTATTCTAGTAACACTTTTCTTCAGATTTAAAACATCTAGCAGTTAAATGCTTAAAAAAATATAACAAGGAAGGTAGTGTTATTTTACTGTGATCTGCAAGGTTATTCAGTTCATTTATTCATTGAGTAACCTCATACTTCCTCAGACGGGCGCTCCATTTCGAGCAGAAAGTCCGCTATGTTTTACTTTCTAACATGATTCTCTTTGCCTAAAATAAACTTAATAGCAGTTGATCCTTATCATGGTTTATGGAGAGTAAAAAGAAGAGATTGCTATCAAATTTTGATTTAAGTTTAGAAAGATATGCCAGAATCAGACCCATGCCATTGTGTGTCTAAATTATGTGTTAGCAACTAGAGTATACTATGTTTTTCGTTCAAACTCAATTCAGCGGGAGGGTTTATTATTTATGTTTTGTAAATTTTATGCCGACTTAGTGTGTCCCAAAAACAATTTCTGAGGCGTCAACAATGTTTCCCAGAAATCGGTAAACGTTAAATGAGACGAAACTTAAGCAATTATTTACTTAGCCTACCGCCAGGTGCAAAAGTTCTCTCATCGCCGAAAATAGTTTTCAAGAAACCTTTTTTAGAACCTGCTTGGGCGCTTAAATATAATTTTTCGGGGGATCCAACCTTTTTCTATCCAATAAGCCGGCCGACCCAAATGGACTTAACTTCCTTATAATATTTGGATTACACGTGTATCTCCAAATATAAATCGATCAATATACATTAACTTCAGCCCCACATTACATAACAACTTATGTACTTATTCAATTAAACTTAACTGACTGGGAGATTTCTGAGGGTAGTCAAAATTAAAAATATCTCCCGTTCACTGTCGCTAAGTTGTGTTGACGATTCAATTTACGGAGGGGGTAAACTAATTTGAAACTTCCTTCGCAGATAATAAGCTATGATTCCCCGCGTGGAGGCGTGTCGGTTGTGACTGAAAAGGGGGAGACTACCACCTCCTTCCTGCTCATCCAGCAGGCTCGGCCCTCGGATTCGGGGACCTATCAATGCAACCCGAGCAACGCTCAGTCAAAAAGCGTGGTGGTGCATGTTTTAAATGGTGAGATTCTAATTTGTTTTTTTTTTTAATTTTATTTGTTACTGAATTTTTCATTATATAATGCCATACTTGTCTTTTTACAAGGAGAAATTAAAAATGTATTTGTTTCCTCAGAGTGATTAATCGATCTAAGTCTAATTTTAGGTCTTAATCGATTTGATAAAAATATTTTAGTTGTGACAAAAACTTCAAAAATAATGGGTCACTAAATATATACCTAATACTAATTAATCGAAAATACCAAACTTTTATCGTAGAACTTAAAAACGTGCATGTAATACCTACTCATTTATTATTTAACAACACAGTTAAATATTTGTGAGAAGGGGCGACAAAGAAATTTCTCTCCTAAACAGATACAACGTTTTCTCATTGTTTTCCTTAAGCGCTTTCTGAAAGTCATAATATAAAATATAAACCGCATAATGTGCCCCCCTAGCCACCTAATGTCCACAGGAAATTGCGGGAAAAATAAAACTTTCACAGTAATTCAGCGATCTGCAATTCTTAAATCACTCCGCAGTTTATTCGTTAAAGGCATCCCAATCTGGTCGATAAACGACCTCGGTGAGATAGCGGAAAGAAAATACATTTTTTTCATTCATTCAAAAATCCCAAAAAGAATAAAAGCAGGTGGATAAAGGCCATTATCATTAAAACAACGATCGCGATAAATCAGTGAAATGAAACGCTTGCTCTAAATGGGTGTGTTAATATTTTTTATTAGCCACGGCAATATAATTAGCTGTGGCCATATCGCAAGGAGTATCATAAAAGTTTAATAATGATGAAAATTGTCGCTCTGTGTTTCATTAGCTACTCAGGAAGATTGATTAGCATTATTATTGCATACGCTACAACATACTTTCAGTACCAAATTTTGCCTTAATTTCTCTTAATATCTCGAAAGTGCTCCCTTATCCTAATACTTATAATCTCAGATTTCAGAACAAAAGGCAGATATATTAATATTGTTTTAAACTTTCATGGTCACTAACATTATAGTAATATAAGTTATTTACGGGATTTTTACCATGTACCATGTGTTGTACGTGGTAACAATCCCGTAAATAACTTATATTACTAAAAGGCTGCTAAAGCGCATGGTACATGCAATGCGTGCCACCAAAGCAAATACGAAGTCAAAAGTAAATGCTTTTTTGTCTTTGTGAACAGTTTTACGATGTAAAAACATGGCAGCACAGTTTTGATTTTTTTTTTTTTTGTTTCCTCCCAGGCGGGGGAGAGGGTGAGAAATCCTCATGGATACCCTACAGCCGGCTGTAAGGTTATGTCAGACTCCTACTGACTAAAAAACACCCTTTATTCATGCTTATGGCCAGAAGGGCCTTACAAGCTTCATCTGAAGCGATCACCCCCCGAGAGGGGGATGATGCGGCGCTGCGTTAGTTTAAACTAGTGCATAGTTTAAAATAACGCAAAATGCGCTTAGAGGACAAGTGCACTCAGATGTGCACTTGAAACGGGAGGGGACTGAGAGGAATCGAACCTCTCTGTGTCGGGGGGGCGGGGGGGACTCATCGCGGGTGTTGGATCCTCAGCGGCCAAGAGGGCCGCGAGATCGCGCGTGAGTTTATTGTGTGTGGCTGTGAGTGCGTGTTTGGGCCTGCGGGGCCTGAATCGAGATGGAGTGTGTGGAGCGTATCCCGACGCCGATCTAATGAGTGTGTTAGAGTGCTCTTCTGCAGCTTTGAAGAACCGTTCCGAGCACTCTGTGAGGTGTGTTTGAATTGTGTCGAGTTGAAGGTCCCTGTGGAGGTCCGCGTTGCGGACGTACCACGGGGCCCCTGTGGCTATGCGGCAGAAGCGATTTTGAAGCACTTGAAGTTTGTTCAAAATCGCTTCGTCCGCGTGTGCGAACACTGGTGACGCGTAAGTGAGGACCGGGCGTATGCAAACTTTGTAAAGCGTTCGCTTGTTACGAAGTGACATTTTGCTGTATTTACCGAGCATCGGGTGGAGGCGGCTCATATAAAAGCGCGCGTTCGCGACTACGCGTGTGATGTGTGCACGGAAGGTGAGTTTTTGTCTAGTGTGATCCCTAGGTATTTGACTGTGCGGTGCCACGGTATTGCTATGCCTTGCATTCGCAGAGACCGCGCACCGTGTTGTATGGTTTTGGTGCGGCGCTTGGGATCGAAGCAAATGGCCGAACTTTTGTCCGGATTTACGTCGATTCTCCAATCGCGGAACCAATTCCCAAGTGTTGTGATTGCCGGTTGGAGCTTGGCTATGATTTGATTGGTACTGGCTCCCCTAGAGTAGAGGGCCGTGTCGTCCGCGAAGAGAGCGAGCTCGACACCCTTGGTCTGAGGGATGTCATTGGTGTACGCTGTGTATAGCAGGGGGGAGAGAGCGGACCCCTGCGGTACACCGGCTCGTAGTGGGCGGGGCGTTGATAGTGAACCTTCGTATCTATAGCGGAAGGTGCGGTTTGATAGAAAAGAGGCTACTAACCTAACTAGGCGGTCAGGTAACTCTAATTGATATAATTTAAAGATTAATCCGTCGTGCCAAACCTTGTCGAAGGCTTTGGCGACGTCGAAGAAGACTGCAATAGTTTTATATTTATTAAGTTGGAAGCCGCTTAGGGCGTGCTCCACTATGCGATGGATCTGTTGGGGGCAGGAGTGTTTGGCTCTGAAGCCGAATTGGTGGTCAATGATAATAGGATCGGATGGTGATAGGAGGTGCTCTCTTAGTCTGGTCAGTATGGTTTTTTCGAAAAGTTTCGCCATTGCCTTGAGGAGGCTAATAGGGCGATGGCTACTGGGGAGGTGCGCGGGTTTTCCGGGTTTGGGGATGCCTATCACTATTGCTTCTTTCCAGGCGGCTGGGAAGTAGCACAGATCAAAACATGCGTTAAAGAGAATTGCAAGCAAGGTTAGCATTTGGATGGGAAAATGCTTGAGCGCCTTGTTAGAGATGCCGTCGGCGCCCGGGGCCTTGCGTTGCTTAAAGTTTCTAATGGTCTGTCTGAGTTCGTCTGTCGTGACGGGGTCTAGGGGGTTGTCAATGAGTGGAAGGGCGGCCCGCCGGCGGACCTCCTCCTCCACTCCGCGAATATGTTGCGGGTTAGTTTCCTGCGTACTAGGCGTGCATTGCGCCGCTATGCTGTCTGCAAAACACTCAGATTTTTCGTCGTCTTCGAAGGCGACGGTGCCGTCGGGGCGAGTGAGCGGGGGGGTGTGAGTGGTGACGTCGCTACGGAGCGCTTTCGCGATTCTATAGTACGCAAGATGGGATGGGGTAATGTCCGCCATGAGTTCCTCCCAACGGGAGTGTCTCAGAGCGGCTAATTGGGACCTAACTTGTCGCTGAAGGCGATTAGCTGTAGCCCTATACTCGGGGGTGGGGTATAATTTGGCTCTCCGGAGAGCGGCGTTTTTGGCTTGGATTAGGTTCCGGATGGCCAGCGGGAGCTTGGGCTTTGGCAGCTCAACCTCCCGCGAGTTCTCCTTCGCCTTCTCGGTCACCAGTAAAGTTAAAGACTCTATAGTTTCGTCAATCTTGTCGGTGCTGTCGAGACTGTCCGGTGAGTTAGGGAACGGGGACTCGGGGGAGTCTAGAGCGGTCTCGAGAGCGGAGCGGTATCCGTCCCAGTTGGTGAATAGCCTCTTAGGGGGCGCGGGGGCGTCTAGTGGGTCTTGGGGACCTAGAACTAGAGACACCGGTCTGTGATCTGACCCCAGGTCGTCGAGTGTTTCGATCGAGCTGAGGCGAAGCGACACGTTTTTAAGGATCGCGAAGTCCAGGACGTCGGGTCGGTTTTGTACATTGTCTGGGTAGTGGGTGGGCGCGTAGGGACATATGACATCATAGCCAAGCTCCTCGGTGATGTGTAGTAATCTGCGGCCAGAGGTGGTGGTGGTCTCGCATGTCCAGTCGGTGTGTTTGGAGTTAAAGTCACCGAACATTATGACTGATGTACCTAGTGAAGTGAGTGTTTCGAAGTCTGCGCGGTGAGGATGTGTACCTGATCTAATGTAGACTGAGGCGATGATTAAGGACTGGTGTCCTGTCATCGCCAGCCTACAGATGGTGGCTTCCATGTTTGTAAGCGCGGGAGTGGGTATAGGTGTGCAGTGTAAATTGCGTCTATAGTAAATTGCGGTGCCGCCGCGCGCGTTGGCACCGTCGTTCCGGATTAATTTATACTTAGGGATCGACAGCCCCTTCATTTGAGTTGGTTTGAGCCAAGTCTCCTGAAGGAGCAGAAAGTCGGGTTCCCTATCTTGCAAAAATAATTTAATTTCGTTAAGGTTGGACTTTAAGCTGCGCGTATTAAATGACACAAGCGAAGCGCCTTTCGGCTTGGTACGCCCGGGGTTTAGTTGAGTGATTGTTATGTTAGTGTTTTGCGCGGTCATAATTTAAACAACAGTGGTGTTTGTTTGAGTTATCACCGCGTGTTTTGTGTATAGTGTTTTTGTTTGTGTTCGGAGTCTGGTTATTTCCCAGTGTTATAATGATTGAAAAATTAATCGAACGCGGCAACGAGTTCGGGGTGTTCGGCTATAGCTATAGCCTTTTCAAGGGGTGTCTTTGCTAGCCGGAGCTTCGCGGCGAGAGTGTGGATCTCGGCGATATTCACCCTCTTGAGCGAGGAGCGAATAAGCGCCATGTCCTCGGCCAGAGAGACGTCTTGGGCTGGCTTAGCTTGTGTTGTTGGTGTGGTGTGTTGTGGTGGGTGTGGTTTTGGGCGGGCCCAGGCTGTCGGGGGCGCCGGGCTGCGAGGGGCGGCCGCCTTGGGTAGCCCCGGGAAGTTTGTGGTGGTGTTATTAGGTGGTGGTGGGTGTGTTTTTGTCGCCGTGGTTGGCTTTGTGTGAGTGTGAGTGTTGGGCCTGGGGCGTGGGGCCCGCGGGCAACCCCTGTAATTGGCCGGGTGGCCTTCTTGGCCACAGAGCACGCATGCGGGTGCCCCGGGTGCGTCACGAGTGCGGGTGCACTCCTTGGTGAGGTGGGGTACGAGGCACTTG